TTGTCATTTTAAATTTTGATACTAGTAATCCTACTGATTTGTACACTAAACTTAGCAAAAATCTGTTTTTGCACCTTTTTTGCTGTAAATATTGTTTTTAAGATGCTTTACTGGAGAGATCGAGAGAGAGAGATCATGTAAATAAATAAGTTGCCCCGCACCTGTCCGTCTGTTCGTCCGTCTGTAAACTTTTGGGATAGAGTGGGGTCAAATTTTTTCTTGGGGATATAGAGGGGAAAATCCTTCAAAAACAATCATCTGAAAGGTACACTGTACATGTAGCAGGACCAAGGAGACTCAGGTGAGCGTTGTGATCTTTGAGTCATTTATTTATGAATTTATTTAATCATTTATTTTACACCATTCTCCTTCTTCACAGCGTAACTTGTTATTTAGATGATATACTTATTTAGTTGAATCTGATTCGTCGAGAAACATTTGTTAAAACTATATATGGCGTACCTGAACTAATAAAAAAAATTATACGAAATTGAGTGTAGATACACATAATATTTCTTTTGTACGTTCAAATTAAAAGTTTCAACGATTTTGAACTCAGATAACCTCACGTTTCTATATTAAGACCTTTGCTATTCAAATCTCTATTTTTTGTGGAGTCGGTAAATAAATCGGTTATTGTTTTAATTTTTTAATATCTTTTGAAACGCGATTGATTTAAATTGTGTAATTTACAGAAAAGTCCTATCTTTATATAAAGTAATGAAACAAATAAAAAGATCTTTTAATTTTGGTAATCTGAATTTATTAACAATACGCCATATGTACCTTTAAAAAATAGTTACCCTCTGAAAGATGAAGATCACGCCCTCCTGCGTGATAGAACATAGCAACAGGAAACATTACTTGACGACAGATAGTAAAGAAAAGTTGACTGTGTAGAAACTGTGCGCGCACGGTTAACCGTTTTTTTGTATTTTTATAAAACATTCAGTATGAAATAATAAATAATTCATGTAATTGAAAGAAACATTGAAAATTTTCGCCGCTCGAAGACTTTTACCAACCTCCGCTGCGCCTCGGTTGACGATGGTTTTGTTATAGGTGAAATTTTCAATGTTACCTTCAACTACATGCAGAATTGATATAATGCATATTCCTACGTGTATGGTCTAGCGTTGACTCATGTGTATCTTTAATAAAACTATTGGTTACGATTATTTCGCTTGAAATTATGATATATTTAATTTTAAATATATAATAAAAATTTACACGTATTTCGTTAGCTTTTGCCTTTGAAATTTTTCTTGATTTTTATTCTATTGGACATCTTTAGGTTTATAACCTAGTAAATCAGTTTTACTAAACTCCTTTAGTTTATAATCTTGTAATATATGAATGCAGAATGTTTGTCATTATTTATAGTGAATATCACAACTCGAGTACATGTAAAAATCACATGAATCTGATACGTTATGTGTTTACTTTGGTAAAGCGTTCGTCATCGATTTTATAATCTAAAAAAAATAAGATTTTATTCAGAGTTGGGAGAACAAGCTTATAAACACATTAGATTTATTCTTTTATCTATTGAATTAATTGTATTTTCTGACATTATAAAGTCTAAATATCAGCGTGCACCCATCAATTCCAATTCTACTCGATTTAAATACATAAGAACATATCAAACACTTTTGTTCTCACTGCCCATCCGGAAAATAGAAAAATTCAGAACATTTTCGCCGTAAATGAAAACCTACTATGGCTATAGTAGAGCATATCCCAGTACAGATGAATGATGTCGGGGCAGTTAATTATTTTCTTCTACTCAAAATTCTTCACATTTCAAGATGGTGAACACTACGATATTTATAAGATATTGATATTGAACTCGTCAATAAAAGCTTAATCAGAAATAAAGAAGAATTAAAATCTATTTCTCATAGTTTACATATACAATGCTTCTTTTTAAATGTCTATTTTTTCATAATTTACCCATGTTTCATGCAATGCAGATATGTAAGTTCTTTCTGCAGGCATTTGAAGAAATTCATGTGGAGTAACAGAATAATACAAGGGGATTGTGATATGTGTTAATAAATCATATACAGACAAATAAAAGATTATCAACAAAAAAGTACATGAACTGATAGCTGACTCTATCATAAATCATATTTACAAAAATACACTTGTGTTTTATTAGTTTAGTTTCAAGATACTCTTGCCATACACATCATAAAAACTTCATACCATAAATACTCATACACGAAAGACTGTGGCAACAAAAATAATTTGGCACACGACATATTACAATACATGATTGTATAACATTCCCCTGATCTGACAAAACTGAGAGCCATTGTCTTTTATTTCAAAGCCCTTTAACTCTATTTAGCCGTTCCTGCTAATCTTTGATCTACGAGACTTAGACCATTCCTCTTCTTCACTCACGTATACGGTTCTTTTATTTCGTTCTCATATCTTCGGAACCTTCCTAGCTCCGTCCCACACTTGGAGCACTTATGTACGCAGTCTTTGGCACTTGAAATGCAGAAGGGAAAGAGGAAACAACCTAGCCACAATCTTCAAATAGATAAAAGTTATACATGTATGAAAGGGTTGCTACGTTTTATGCTGAGATTAACAAGCGTTAAAAGTAATTGTAATTTCTTAATTGACGTAAAATTAAACAAAAATGCTTCAAATAATCCCAGGGGTATAGAAAGAACTGTATCTGTGTTATGGCCCTGTCCATATACAAATTAATTGATTCCCTGTCACCCTGTATCCCATTTCAAAATCAATATAAGAAAAGACATGTGATTTCGTTTCCTACAAGAAAATTTCTTCTGAGGTTCCAGGTAATCGTAGACAGCCCTTGTGAAACTCTTAAATTGCAGAGTTCCTTAAATTTACAGAAATTTGGTGTATTTGAGTACCTTCAGCAAGGAGTAAAAATATGAGCACTCCTCGATCCAAAAAATAATACGCGTTTTGCAATCTTCACTAACAGTTCCATTATAAATTAGTTGTAACATTTTGGACCAGAGCTTGTGCTCTGTACGAAATATTGAGAAAAATTACTTCAAATATTGACCATTGCAGTCACCGAGGATCCAAGTGATATTTAGAGCACTGTCAACTAAATCTAAGCATTTTTGATCTCTCAAAAATTCAAAGGGCCAAAAAGACCCTCACTCATTGAACCTTGCTCTTTAAAAATTTGTTAAGATTTTTTTTCTTTAAACACAGTTATGAACTCATTCCAGATCTGTAACTGTTTAAAACTTACACATTGTTAAAATCGAGGGCGGACAATGTTAACAATATCAATGTATGAGTATCCTTCCACAAAATACCATGAACAAATCATGATTTAAGTAGATCATGTACATGAAATCAATACCTTTTTCGACATGTTTGTATTGCTTACGAATTTGTTAGAACATGCTATTTCCCCTTTTAGTAAATATTGAAATTTTTCACATTCTTATCACAAACCTTTAGCACCCTAATCGATTTTATTTCCACAGAGGTATTCGAGTAGAAAAAGAAAGTTCAGCAATAATTGATCTTTCAAGTTACAAGTGAAATGCTTCTATATTGGTTAATGGTTACGAGTTGAAGATTAATAATAATTAAGTGACATGAATGCTATTCTGCAGCTTTACTTTAATTATATTTGAAGATACGATTTATGTATGTATATTTATGTATGTTTCACTTCAAAATTATTTCTATGGTTTTGGTGCTGAGATTGTTTACACGGTGAAAGCTAGAATATGTGATGACATTTGATCATCTTCTGCTAGGAGTACCCATTCATTGAACAACTTGGTACTAGTTTTAATCTATAAAGGTAAAAGGGAAACATTCCACAATCGTGTTCCAACAGAGTACCTACCCCATAAAAAGACACAGCAAGCATAGTCCATATGTAAAGAGTCCAGATTCGTAGAAAATATCTGTTTCACCAGTTTCTTCACATTCGGGACATTTAGCTACCACTGGTTTTGGACCAAATGTTCCAATTACCGCTTGAACCTCTTCGCTCGATTCAACAACGATATCACCAGATGTAGCCATTACCTTGAACACTCTCTTGTAAACATGAATGGTTTTGTTTGCCTTACCAACGCAGTTTTAGACAAGGAAGTTATATCAGGTACGAACTTAAGTTCACAAAATCATCCAATGATAATCATTCAGATTTTCAGCCCCGATTATATTTTACAATACCTGTCCAGATAAAAAATGTCCCGCCAAGATTTCAAATACATGTTGTACAATGTTTGTTTGTACTTTGTAGCAATTGCATACTGAACACGCGCAGGACATTTAAACTTTAAGGATAGTAGACCAACAATAACATTTTGCACAATGGATCGCATGAAGTACTAATGCTTAATCAATATGTCATGAAAAGCCTGCTATTTCAAAGCTGGCAAAGAAATTACAAAGGAGTTAATAACATTTAAAAAAAACTCGGGACCCTATTTTCGGACTACAAAGTAAAACAAGCAAAAATACTAGTACGCCGATAAAAACGATCTAATTTTTACTGGAATAAATTCTTAAGACTGAAGAAAGCTCCTTGAAATGTTCTTTGCACTTTTAATTAGCCCCCCTCCCCCCAATATCCACATTTTCCCAAAAAAAGAGACTTTGATGAAAATTTTTTTTGGAATAGTGCACAAATATTATACACCTAGAGAGAAAACCTACACAAAGATAAATCTGTACTTAAACATTTTAATAAACGATTTTACAACATTTAGATTCGTCTCTTATTCGTAGAGAAAATGTACATGTACATGTATTTGAGTTTTTCTTCTTGATGGATCGAAAACAAATGCTCAAGACACTTACAAGACTGAGTGAAAACACTGTTTTATTTACAGAAACACATCCCTTTTATAATATCTATCATTAACAATATAAATTGAATGGTAAACGTAAAAAAATATACATACAAAGCAACAAAGCTGACATTAAAATATTCAAGTATTTCAATATTATGTTTATATCAGAGTGTTGTCCTTATAAATATGTATATAAATTATCTTTGCAAAGATAAATCACGAAAAATTCACAATAAATTAGTCCCAGCAGTTTTCTTCCACAAATATTTGAATTTCGAAACAAAAAAAAGTCACTTAAAAAATATCATAAAAATGATGATGTATCACATTAAAAAGATATCATGAAAGATATCATAATGATGATATATCACATAAAAATGTCATAAGAATGATATAACAACACGTTCTCATCCAGGAAAGTAAATAAGAAGATACTATAGTAATCCTCAGTATTGTATAAGGTATATATACAAAGAAACAATACTCTAAAACTTGTAGGAGTACATTGTCATAAGGTTTGAATCCAACAGTTGGAAGTGAATGCAAAATTTACAATATCATGACTTAATTTTGTATAAAATACCAACCAATAAATTAAATTTCATAGTATGATATCAGTTAAGCCTTAATTCTAGCCTTTTTAAAAAACATCTAATTCTTTTGATTTCGCGGAAATAATGTTATTACTTTACCAAGTGCATAAACAGTATGTTGAAATGTATTCAGAAAACGTAAAGAATCAGATCCTTTAGTTTTTCTCATGAATCCCTGAAGTTAGGGCTGACCTAATAGGAACCAAGTCATTTCTCCGTAAGTTTTGTTTACATTCTGTTGTATCGGCCGACATCCTGTTTACAGTTTGGACAAGAGTGGATCACGTCCTTACATCCATCAACACAGAACGGAATCAGACAACATCCCAGCCAACATCTGGAAAGAAAAACATACTCAGTTTACGTGTACATTACGACATCCTAGCCAACACCTGGAAAGTATTACATTTCAGTTTATATGTACATTACGACATCCCAGCCAACATCTGAAAAGTAAAACATACTCAGTTTACATGTACATTAATAATATGTTGACGGTGCGACCGTTAGGGCGAGCGCAGATACCTTTCAGTTTTAATTTAGATCGGGCTCGTCAAACCGCACGTGACATTTGCTCCGTCTAGACTCTGACGTCATATGACGTCGTATGTCATTCGGCACACCTCGGCCGATTCGTACCTCATCTAACGTTTGATGAAGGTGACGGAATCAGCCGAGGTTTGCCGATTGGTCCTATGTATGTTGCTTTACCAAAACGAAGTATGAACTGTGCTATTTTTAATCAAAAACGTTTAATCTACCATCTCTCTGCTATATATATCCATTAAATCAAGGTGATTTCATATTTTGTTGAATTTTTGTTGCTACCGCGAGAACGTGGTGTGCACCGAGATGCAATTCGCTAAGCATTATGGGACCACAGGTAACTGCGAAAAAAAATTCACTTTGATCAATGTGCAGAGTCCGAATTTTCTTCGCCCAGGCGTTGCTTTAAGAGCTCGCAGTGATGAGCGGCGCTTTGCGCCGCTCGCTGCGCTCGCTATTCCGATATACCAGCCAACACATGGAAAGTAAAACATTACTCCGTTTATAAGTGCCAACAACGGGAAGGTAAAATATGACTTTGTTTACAAGTACATTACAACATCTCAGTCAACACATGGAAAGTAAAACATGTACATTACGACATCCCAGTCAACATATGGAAAGCAAAAATGACTATGTTTAGGTGTACATTACAGCATCATACCAAATATCTGGAAAGTAAAACATTACAAAATTCCACCAAAATCTTCTAATCTGGAATCGGGAATCCTGCATTACTAGTCAGGTGCTCTACCAACTGAACTACCCTGGCCGATACCCAGGGCCAAAAGCAATACACAACATTCCAGCCTATACCCAGAAATAAAAAATTTCTCAGTCTGAAATACAAATTTACGTTGCTTCTTTTCATTAAAAACACAAACTTTATACATTTTGGTTCATAAGCCTTCTAATAAGATTAATGGCAAACTGTTATACTTTGTATAAGGGGTTTGCCCAACAAGCTCTGTGACAAGGATAAGTCAAAAGATTCGATAATAAGAGTTTCTTAAATCCTAAGAAATGAAGCTTTGAGGGTGTATGCAAATAGCATAGCATTATTTATGGCCAAGATATCACTGATCTCTCTGATTTTACTTATCACAGATTACAAAGACAAATCAGAAGTCGCATATCATAAACTGTAGTAACATTCTTTCCATAGCCATCAAATGAAAAATGACACTTTTTTAAAAGGGTCTGGGAGGAGAATGGGTGGGAAGGGCGGAAGGGGAGGGGTTCCAACGATAAATATTTTCAGTAAGACGTCATTGAACTGTACATAAACTTTGAATGCAAGTTATTTTAGTGAATCCAAAGAGAAGTTAGATGAGACGTTAGGTATTTTTTTTTCTAAAATGGATCCAGATAGAAAGCATTCTTGAAAAGAGTCTTAGTAAATTTCCATATAAAACTTGAGACAAGTAAGACGTCAAATTTCTTTCAATGGGATTTAAGACGGTTTTAATCACATTCATTACAATTATCTGTGAAACCGTATTCAATAAACTGTATAATTGGTGAACTTTTATGTCATAAAGGACCAGGCTATCAATCATAAATCATAACTATAATATTGAATATGATTAAATGTTTCATTTCAGTTTCGTTGATTGCGTGAAAAACATTTCTTCTTTTGAAAAAAAAAAAAATCAGTGCTAAACTACCTTAGTACATGGCCGTAGGAACCGGGGGGGGGGGCGTGCCCCCCCCCCCAATAATTTTGCCGATATATAGATTACTATAGTAAACATAGATAATGTGTGCTTGTGCCCCCTCAATAAAAACGTCTGATGACCTTTTTTTTTCTTTTTTTTTTTTTTTTGCTTGTCAGGAAATTTTTGGTCAACGTCAACTGAAAAATGTACGGCTGTGCCCCCCCCCCCCCAAACTGAAATTGCTTCCTACGGGCCTGTAGTAAGTATCAATATTCATCGACAATGATATACATGTACAAATATATATATGTAGTTAATAAATAGGTACGTGCTTTTATTTTGAATGTAAGTCAGTTATGATGAACTGATTTTTATTTGGGTACATTCACGAGTTCTTGGTAAATTTATTTTGTGTGAATGTTGTTTCAGTATCATATAAAATGGAATATAATCTCACAGTTGTAATAAATATATCTTTTGCATGTGCAGAAAAAGAATAAAATAAAATGACAAGATACCTTTCCCCTCGACATTCTGAAACTTACCCAACAACAGCAATAACAAAACACGCCACCCATGTGAGTGTTCCGACCTCATATCTGGTGGATGTGGTAATGGTCGCCTGACATTGGGGGCACTGCATCTGAACCCCAAATTCCCGGAACATGTAGGGGTTCATGTGTACTGGCTGGGTCACCACCACCGTGCTCCCCGCTAAAAAAAAATTCCAAAAATCGCTGTAATATACACTTGGTACTAATCAAGGTAATTTCTTGATTGGGAATAATTTGCGAGTGGGCCTATTTATGTACTAGGAAGATACGAAGAAAACTACTGATGGATATTAATGAAATGGGACTATAATTGAAAATTATGGTTGGTAGAGTGCAGATAAATTCTTGTCTGAGGAAAGGTTATGTTTTCTATTAAAAGCAAGGACGTATATTTAGTTTTTATGATAATAATTTTTTTTAAAGAACAGATTAATTAATATTTAAATTTTGAATAAACTGATTTGAATTTCTTTTACACGAAACTAAATGAAATTTTACTCTAGTGGCCTGTTTATTTGTATAGAGTAAAACAGAGAGAAATGTTGACAACAAATAGCAAAATAAAAAAAAAAAAGAAATATATAAAACATTTCTTATTTAACTTTCTGACTTAAGGGGATGAAGGACACATGGTCACATGACTCTGTTTAACTACGTCATAGTCTCCGTTTATATAAGTGCAAAACGTGTAAACCATCAATTCTTGTATAAGTCTTTGACAATTTTTTAACTTTAATTACCATTTTATATGAAAAAAATAAAAAAAAGTTTTAACATTCTTGTAAAGATTAACAAATTATGAAAAAGATTGATCCACTCCTCTGTTTCCCTAAACTGCGCGTCCAACAAGTCGGTGACGTCATACACGATCTGTTAGTACAACAAGATCATACTCGGTGAACACAGGGGCGGTATTATTATGTAGAAACAGGTCATAATCAGTATCTGATGAAATATTTTGAGAAACGGGGAACACAAAAATTATTTTTGCATGGCTGATGACAGAAATCATATGTAGGTATATCTTATTTCGCTTATTTAGCTTACGTGTGACGTCATAGTTGGTTTTTCCCGTACTCGAGAAATGTAAACATGACACGTTTTTGTCATGCTTATGTCCTCTTTAACAATGTCCTGTGAAATAATGAGGTCAGCTTCATCATTCGAAATTTTTACAGTTAATCAATAATTTGAAGGATTTGCATTTCAACGTAAATTTAAAAATATTGAATGATAGAATTTTTTGTAAATTACGTTTTTTATCGTTTAAGTTGTCTTAAAAAGTGCGTAATTTTCCCTATCCAGATGCAGTGTGATAGACAAAACTTGCTTTTTTGAATTTTAAATCTTAGTTATACTCTGAAATGATTTAAAAGATACATGTCCACTTTGATATTTTTTATATATGATTAAAAAATCTAATTATGGACAGAGTAATGAGACCGGAAACATGGAGAATTAAAATTCCACTTAGATACGGTAGGGCATAGTATTTGTCAATCAATATCTCCAAAATAAGGTAAGAAACCTAATGATATAACTGCTTTAAGATATGTGGGACATACTTAATTAGAAATATACAAAATATGAAAAAAAATTAATGACAAGTATTTTTTCAGCTCAAGGTCCTTCTCCTCCTTAATTAAATTGAGTTTTTTTTTCATATTTATCTCCGTAATTCCACCAATACGTTTCCCCTACTGTAATTGTAAATACGTTTACAAAGTACAGGAAACTGTATTCCAAACAATTCAGGGTTGTTCTTTGTTAATAGAAAAATGGCTTAACTCCAATATATATTAGACATTTAAAGATTCTACAGCCTAATCCGGGCCATTGTTGACATTGGTGGGTTAAAATGTGGGTAGGTAAGACCCAAAAAATCGATATCACGAACAACTCAATAACAAAGCTACACGTTAAAATGATAGATATTATAGTAAATATTCAAGTAGATTTCTGAAAAAAAAATATATATATACATCAAAAATATTCTGAATCAATAAAATTGCATTAAAAGAGAGAGAGAGAGAGAGAGAGAGAGAGAGGACAAGGCACATGTTTACTTGAAATGAAAAGACATGCATCATGTACTAAAAAAAATATTCGTATCATTAATATAAAACTTTTTCACCGCATTCAAGTATCTGATATTTGATCATAATTTGATGGAAAGAAAAAAAAATGTTATATATATATATATATATATATATATATATATATATATATATATATATATATATATATATATATATATATATATATATATATATATATATATATATATATATATATATATATATTAATTAACTAGTATTTCAGTTCTCTATTTTGATTTCAATAAAACAGAAACGAATACTCACGGTAGCCCGGGGGTGGTGGGGGCTGACTGTACCCCGAGGGTTGGCCGTACCCTGGGGGTTGATTGTAGCCAGGCGGCGGAGGCGGTTGTTTACTGTCCATCGTTGATTGGAAATATGAATCAATTCACTTAGTTCCTACTTGACAGGTACGAAACTCTGTACCTGTCATATATGTTTTACCATTAAAAGTTCATTCAAAGTGGAAGAGTGTCAAGGATTGGGGAGAAAAAAAAGAAAAGAAAGATTCTGTATAAAAAAAGAAAGATTCTGTATAAAACATCTGATTAATTATTCTCCCCAGTCAGGTTCTCAGATCCTTTATTCTACAAATAAATCTATATATGTAAAAAAGCTTTGATTTGATAATCACACCTTCAAAAGTTGTATATAGAGATAAATACTAGTAATACATGTATTGCGAAACCCTTTGAACCTCTTAACGGCTATTAAATAATTCAAAGTTTTTAAATTAAAATAATTGTTTTTTAATTTAGTAACGAATGGCTTATTTATCTATTAGTTCTTCAATTTTCCAATTAAAATATGAAGTCTTTTTTCAGTATTTTTCAGAAGATAAACTTATTGACAATTACACTCACGGTACACCATAGCATTTCTTTCATTTCGAAATATAATTATTTCAAAATAGACTGAACTGAAAGGGTATTTCGTTAATGCCATGTATTTGTGTTTTCATAATATCATTAAGCAAGAAAACGATAATTCAATTTAGAATTTTCCATTAAAAAATTAATTTACCTTGGCGACGAGAAGAACTTGTGGACATGAATCATGAATGTAATGCCGAGAAAATATATATATAAATCAATCATGTATAGAAAATGAAAATCAATTTTATGTATACATGTATTTTAAACACATACCGAGATGGTATTTAACACTAACAAATATTTCTCCCATCATTTCATAAAAATAAATTTCAGGCAGGGATCCAGGAATTCCCCCAGTCAAATGATTTTCTATCGGATAATTTTTTGAGAAGCAAAAAAAAAAAAAAAAAAAAAAAAACTTAACTCCTTCCCCAAACGAATCCAACACCAAATGAGAAATTTTCTTGAAAGCAAACAATAAAAATGAAAAAACAAAACAAAAACGAAACAAAACAAAAAAACAACAAAAAACAAAAAGTCCTTCCCCAAACCTATTTCGTGGATGTGGGAGTGTTGATGTGATTTTTTGACGATTCGCTTCACATTTTTAGCTTCATATGTATAACTTTTTCTACGAAATTAACAGGGGTCCACCTTTTCTAGGGGGGGTCCGAAGTCATTGTTTTTATTTGCTTCAGTGCATACATTTAATAACTTCCAAATTCCAGGGGGAGCGGACCCCTCCCGACCACCCTATAGAACCGCGCATGAATTTACAGATATTTTTTTAATAAGTTGCAAGTTACATTACGATACTTACATGTACTATGAAAACGCTCGCAATGATAAATATAACGAATTATTGATGTTCTTCGTCGTTCTCAATACTTCCTGCGTGCATTTATTTTCTGACGTGGAAACTTCATATAATAAACAATAAATACATGTAAACAAATAAACAAAGTTAACAAACAATTTAAACAATTAAAAGAATTTAAATTAAGATTTGTATCCTGTTATCTTTAAAAGGTATTTAATGATTAAAATGAATTTTACATAAAAATTACTCAGCCATTGACAAAGGGCAAGAATAAAGTTACTAGGCATTACATTATCCAGAACTGGAAAGCTAAGTTCACCGAGACAAAGATGTTTATAATAGAAGCTACAAAAAGCCATATATAACGCCAGACAAGTACAATTGACTTTTCCAATCACCACCAGTTTGATTTGTTTGATAAAGTTATAAACCACTTTTAATGCATAATTGTTAGATATGGGGTTATGAAAACATTTTTTTAGAAGTTGCACGTAAAATTTACATGTTTGCACTTAAACGAAGAACCCAATTGTTTATAATGAAGTAAAACTCCTAGGCACCCCTTAATTGTTCTAGTCTGTTAAAATTGTTGTTGATTTTTCCAGTATGTACGAATAACCCAAAGTTTTTAATGGAAAAACTAGTTTGTTAAAGAATGACACAGCGTAGAAAATTCTTCAAAATGTACGATTTTATAATATAGGTCTATTTATACATTTTGTACAATCTAATTAAAATCAGATCCTTTGATCCGCTCACATAAAGCGATCTATGTGAGCGGATCAAAGGATCTGATTTTAATCAGATTGACATTTTGTATCATTTCCTGAATAATTATGATATTTTATTAATATGTTTTTATACCTCAAGTACCTACATTTGGTTTTTAATTAAGAAAATAAATCAATATTCTTTAAAAAAATTATTCAAAAATCTCCTCCTAAAGAACAGCAAAGCTACAGATATATTGGAAAAATATTCGAGAATTCCTCCTGAAGAACAGCATAGCTACGGTTATATTCATTTTAAAATTCAAGCATCTCTTTGATGTGTAAATACTTGATATCGCTATTACTTAACTTAATGGAACTCTTTCGCGGTGAAGGTAGGAAACGCCTGTTAGCTGGGGGCAATGTGGTGTTGCATATAACGCGAGATCGAGTATTTTGGATTTTTAAAGGGCAGATATGAAGTCCTGGTGAAATATGTTGCGGAACACTCGCTGAACTACGGTTATAAATTTTAAGAGAACATAGTCCCCATGTGTTACATTTTTATTGATACTTTTTCACTAAGCCCACTCTCCTTTACCGGTAATTAAATTCAAGCATTTCTTTCTGATAATCGTTACTTTTGCAAGCTAATTAAAAAAAAAACTTTAAACATTCCAAATTAGACAACCTGCTATTTGAAGTTCAACCCTTTGCAATACATTGTAGTTTCGGCATACTAATTGTTCGAATCATTCGATTGTCACTAGTATAAATAATTCATGCCCCGGAAACTCGCGAGATTGAGAACTTCGCCGCAAAAGAGCAGCATTAAGTTAGATAACTGTGAAGTAATCGCGATACTAAGTAAAGGGTTCAGCTTTACCCAAGAACAACATGACTACATGTACATATCACATATAATAATTACAATTTGTATTCTTGATCCTCGACATCCGGAAAAAGGAAATATTTGAAATCGTGAAATTTACATTTTTGGTTAAAATCGAGATTTGTTTATATTTATGATTACCGGTAACAGTATTTGTGACTCTGGTGAGCGTTGTGACCCATGGTTCTCTCTGTTTTATTATCAAAGCACGCCTTGGTAACTGAGCAATATTTACATCCAATGTATTTCCTTTATTTTAAGCAAATCACGGAAGCAAGCCACCTGTATAAGATTGCTCTTCCATGAATGAAACATACAATAACGTAATTAACAATAATACGATATTTAACGTACTTTAATCCTACGTTATATGATTATTTACATAGACATAAATATAAAATATAAATTGCCTTCCTTTGTTCTATGGGTATTAACATTGAAGCTATTGCAAAAAAAAAAAAAAAAAAAAAAAAAAAAAAAAAAAATACATTTGTATTTTTTTTCTGCAACAGCTGCAACATTAATTCTCGTACTTATACAAAAAAAACTTCTGTATCAATATTTGTTAAATATACGACATGTGAGTCACAGAAGATCGTTGAATTGCGAAAATAATATCATCAATACTTCACTGTAAATTGAAAACAATCATATACATGTAAGACCAAACGAAACAGTGTTTATCATGTCATGTTATAATTTACGATAATAGCTTACCAACGTTTACATGTAACATTAGCACATGTAATCAGGATGTGAACATAATGAATCTTTCTCTCTCATCAAAATATCCTTGATTTGAACTATCAAAAAGCACATGAAAACATTGATTGAAAATGTATTTATTATCATATATCCCGAAATATTTTTTTTCTCTCATAAGACTCACATACAAATATCACAAACGTGATTTAAGATTTTGAACGATTCTGCTTGAGGACATCGTAGCCGATTAGAAACGGTACACCAAGAAAGCCTTTTACAATAGTCACAAAAACTCCTCTATACAAACTAAAGAATCCATCATTCTTGATAGCATAACGGGCGCAGTCTATCCAACCCTTGTATTTGACCTGTTCACAACTTGTCATCATCATTCGCCTTCGGATCGTATCCAATGGATAGGATACTAGACCAGCAAGGACCGTAACTCCATATCCCAGTCCAAAAGCGTAAAATAGTTTGAATTGACCGGTCTTTAAAAGCATTGGAGACAGAGTGTCGTAGAAGCCGAAGTAAGCGCCTCTATAGACAATTATACCCAGACAAGACACCACGAACCCCCGATGAAGTCCGACAATTCCGTCGGAGCGCATCGTCTGTCTGTACACATCAATGATACCCGAAAATTGTCGCTTCTTCGTCCCATCTTTACCTGTTTGTAAAACATCGGCCGCCATTCTGGTTCTACAATAGTCCAGTGAATACACCAGACCAAGTGTAGCAAAACTTCCTAAAAATCCAGCGCAGAGATTTTTAGCTAATTTTATATAAGCATTTTCCTCTTTTGAAAGTCTGGTCATTTTTTTTACTGCTTCTTTCATTGCAAAATTTATCGCTTGTTCGGGAAAGGGCTTAACACATGCGATTAAATTTCCTCTGAAAAGTGGAATAAAGCCTTCTGTTCTGTATATTCGTAACGCGCATTCCAGAGCACCTTTATAGGGCTTGGACAGACGACCCGTCTTTCTCAGTTCATGCTGACACTGCAGCAGCAACTTGACACGGTCCAAAGGCGCAGTAAAAGTCACAGCTAGACAGGAATAAGCACCCACTTTGGCAAAGTCAGCTACAAAACTTGGACCTCCAGATCGGTTTGCAGGCCCTAGAGGAAAATAATATGCACATCAGTATCATATTTTTAAAAAATGTATATTATAACTGAAAAATGAAAATTATGACATTGATTGGCGGGGAGTACTATATAGAGAACCCTACAGAACCCTAAAGAACCTTAGAGAACCCTAATGGTTTTTAATTATTTATTGTCTGTAAATGAAATATTTATGTTTTAAATAACCAATATATCATACAAAAACAAAATAAAATTTGAAAAAAAGAATATTATGCCACGTTTTATGCTTAATTTCAACGGAATAATAATCCCTGAAGACTTTATCATACTTTTTTGAGATAAGAGTAGTAAGAAATTAATTTTATTAATGTTTTAAAACAGAGTGAATGGCTAGGAGTTCTGCATGACTTAAAAAATAAAATTAAATAAAATATAGTGTGTAAAATAATTGTAAAATTATGTGAAAAAATTACTATTTCAATAAATAACGTCTTCTGAAATTCAACCGGGATCAGGATTACATAAAATATTTCACCATATATTTTGTTACGCTTTTCAACTATTTTCGAGGAAAAATATTCATAAAATAATCTTGTTTTTGATTTTATTGATAAAATATGACATATAAAGTGAAAATCATGTCAAATATGTATAAAATTTCATCAAATTAACCTCGAGTTCTCTAGGGTTCTCTGTTTAGTAGGACTGTTGATTGGCAAATATATTCTGTTGGTCGAATTAACCCAATCAATCTGCTTACCCCAGTGTTGAGTTACCCGTGCATCTTTTTCGAAGTGAAACAGCATTTTCATTATCTCTTATCGAATGATATTGTTCATTAAAATTTCAAATTCAGCATTATTATCATTACTCGTCTTAACAACATGATAAACGCAAAAATAATTCTTCAAAGATATTGATATAAATGTTAAAGACTGATCATATTTTCAATGTTAGGCTCAGTACTGTTAGTAAAAAGTCATTAAATAATTTAATTCCACCCCAGCTGAACAGATAAAAGGTAATTAAAGTAACTTAAAAACAATGACATTGACCTGACCTTGACCTTTTTACTACAATAACACGTTCAATTCAAACTGAAATTATACAATTTCATGAATTTTTAAATATTATGAATATGAGAAGAATTCCTCCTTAAGTCATTGCCAAAATATTTAAAGCTAATTTTAAAGCAACTGTTAAGCTGTACAACATTATTGTCCACTCGGATTTTAGCAAACAGATGGAAACATTAATAGTGCAACCTTTATTTCATCACACAATGATATCATGTGATATATATAGGATCTCCCATGATTTGTAGTTGGATATTATTTTTATCCAACGAGTTGTGTGTTTTTTATCCCCGAGCCTTAATATCGCTAATACTACTAGCGTGAAGTTGCAAGTTTTTGTCCCAAACCGGCTATCGTAAAACGTTCCCCGACTCCGTTATGGTATGTCGACCCAGTGCAGTAGCAAGTGGTCACTGTACATTCATGTACAGACATGCGAAGTCCGTTAATTAAACACAGAACAAAAATCCTTGCTTAGAGCTTTAAGCTACTTAAGTCTAAATTTTTCGGATTTTCACTCTGTGTGGTTTTATTTATAGTTATTTATTTACTTACATATAATATTTATTTTCTAAACAGCTAAACAGCTAAAGGTTGATAAATTATCCAAATATCGAAATGTAGTTTAATACATGATCTTAGATTAATACAGACATTCAACCGATTTCATACAATCTTCGAAACCGATCTCTTGCTTTTCCAATAGTATTATACATATATATAAAACGCATTTAGGACTACACTAGCTGTGCTATAATCCTGCAAACTTAATTACCTGTTTTCGTTGATGTTTTGATTTCAGAAGAATGATTTCTGGGGCTCTTGTCCTGGTCTGGTTTGTCACCCATATTGCTATTCAATGTGTTATTATCTACCCTTTTCCAGTATAAGCATTAGTGTTTTAAGTTTCCTCCATGTGACCGAGTAAAGCAGAATACACTATGGTTGACCGTTTCAACTTGAAATACTTAAAATTTGGATATCCTGACTGCAGAAAAGAACAGGTCACATGTTACTGAATTAAATCTGGTGTAATGTGTGCAAACCTTTGATTTCAATGTTTTAAATCTACTTCAGGATTAACCGGAGTAAAGAATTTGTAATGCCCTTTAATAGTGGTATTTTATAAGTACAAAAATATATAAATAGGGATAGTTAATCAAAGCCACGATAAGAACTACTATACTCCAAGGACTTGCCCTAGGGAAATAGTGCCTGCTAACTCCATTGTTTGATGAAAGAGATAATTATATGTATCTCACTCACATCCAGTGGATACGTGTTTACTTAAGCATTGAATTTTTATTGTATGATATTATTGTATGATAATTTGTCGGCACGGATATGTGCTGTTATACGACCGGTAACATCCAGAAATAAGAATTCAATGCTTATATTTACATTTCCTAATTTTCGCTCTTCATACAAAATTAATATCATCCATCTTTATCATAAATTTTGCGCCTTTCTGGCGTGGTTAATTAATGGACGTAAGAGCTGTTTTGACACGGAAAATTAAATAACGCAAAAAAAAAAAATATTGCGAGGGAGGCTGACCTGCTTTTCCGCGATTTTATTTTCGGGACCTTGTTGCTTTTCCGCGTCTACTCTATACTACTTTACTGCGATTGGTTTTCAATATATGTTATTTTTTACTATTTGTCCTTTACTATATGTTATGTTATCTCCTTTTTTTGATACTTCCTATCCGCGATTTTTAAATGGTCACGTTTAACAATTAATATCAAAGGTTGCCGATATTTACTTGTATTTCCCCAAAGCTTTCTACTCGGTAGTGAGTGCTTACTAACATGCTGATAAAAATTGAATGAATATCACACTGATCGGTGAAATGTTTTAGATGTTATAAACAATATGAAAATTGTTCATACAGAAACGAATCGGGGGAACAAATGAATAATCTACGATGGATTTACATACAGTCAAAAGAATGTTGCTAATGGTTTTAAATCAATGATCTTATCTAGTGTTTTACAAGACTTATTCTGCTTAAAATCCTGCTTCCACCTGCCCGTGGTAAGCAGGGGGCAACCGGTTTTACCTGTCTAACGGAAAAGGTACGAAAGAAAAGTCGCGGGAAGGCTAAAAATTATAATAGCGGAAAAGCAGTAAAACTTGTCGCGGAAAAGCAGGGGCCCGTTTTACAAAAGAACTTACGACTAAGACCAAAATTTAATTCTTGTTGTAACTCTTCAATTTATGTTATATTGAAAATGGTTGTAATCTTTTTAAAAGGAATTTAATAAAATATTTTTACGCTAGCATTTTTTTAAAAAGAATAATTAATTTTGAAGAATTGTACAATCAATTTAATTTTTTTGGTCTTAGCCTTAAGTTTTTTTGTAAAACGGCCCCCGGGATTTTTTTTTTCGCGGAAAAGCTGTGTCAAATCACGGAAAATTGAAACTGTGGCGAGGGGAAAATTGACAAATTAATTTTAAACTTACAATTGTTATGTTTTTATTACAATTTAATAAGGTATTTGCTTTTAATTAAATTGAGTCAAAACAATATATTATATTTTGGTGTTCCTAGTGTATTAAAAGTGCATCTACTTCCTTGTGTGTGTTCGACTGCGCCGTGACAAGGTTTCACGTCTGTGTTACAGAGAGAAATACCATCTTCCAAACGAACGTAACTCGACCTAACTTCCCGTATCTCGACAGTAGTCCCATATCGGGGATAGTTATTGTTTAAAAGTTTAAAATCGGAACTATAGAATAGAATACATTTTTAATAATTCTGTAAATTCTAATTTATTCACTAAATTCCCGAGCCTGTAATGTAATTAAAAAAGCCGACGAACTGAACAGATGAAAATAAAACTATAATGCCTAAGATGGACTATATATGAAACACGTTTGCCAGGTCATTGATTTTAATTACAACCTGATTTTAACAACCTTAACCAAAAAAAAAAAAAGGGGGAGAGGGGTGACACTACTTCGGAAAACTTGACTATACGGACCTGGTCAGGTATTGGTTAACCTCGGCCTTCAGCCTCGATCAACCAATACCTCTGTATAGTCATGAGTTGAGCTCATATAAAGTCAATACATGTAAATATATTATAATATAACAAGCTTAGTTTCATCCTGAAGCCTTGATCCCTGGACCAGGGGACTTTAATTTTATAGTTTATGGATGGTTTGTTGTTCATTATCATGCAAACCAATTTGACTGCTAGATTGCTAAGCAGATTTTCAAAGGTATTATGTATACCCAATACACGACCAACATAACCCCATCATGGGGCCTGAGCCATGGACCCAGGTGTGTATGACTTTCAAATTTTAGTAGAGACCTAAGTATTTATTATGATATCGGAAACAGTTTGCATGCTAGATGTCCATGGCTTCATGACCTACATGTATTTAGTCCCAGCCTGAATTTTGAAGCCTAAATCCAGGGGTCATCAATTTCATAAATTTGGTAAAGAGCATATTGTTATATCAGGCTAGCAGTTTGCCTTGTAGCTGTCTATGAGTAAAGTGAAATATGAAGATAAAGAACAGTATTCAATCTCGAAAGGCCAGTGAAACGATACAAATTTGGAGCAGAGCAAACACGGACCTCAAAATTTAGAGGTGGGATCAGGTGCCATGGAGAAGTGAAGAAGTAAAGAAGATTTGTGAAAATTGCATTAATTTTGATAGTTTTGGCAAAACTCCTCAGGCCTCATGGAGACAGAGACCATGAAATTATAATTTATCTTCATCTTTTCTGATCTTCTTTGCTCCTTTTCATCTTTCTAAATTTTCAGGACTCAAACCAAAGATCACTAAAACAAAAGCTTTATGGATATATTCAGAAATACTCGTACATCAAGGAAACGTCCTCTACTCACATTTTGCTTGTAATATGCTTAAGTTTACATTCTGCGAATACTATTTCAGAAACACATTCGTGCAGTACAATCTGATACACAAGTGAAAATAAGTTCTTGTGATATACAGCTTATTTTCTTCTCTGCCTTAATGTTTACATTTGAAAGATGGAAGAAAGAGGTAGGAGGCTGTTTTACACATCAAAAGTCTTATTTGATCTATATGATTTAAACTGAATTCTCATTTTCCTACATCTTGCTATATTTTCCAAGGGTTTGTCGGCAACTTGGACAACTATGGACGACGTCTTTGCAGCCATCAATGCAGAAGGGAATCAAACAGCATCCCATCCAACATCTTAAAATAAACCAAACAGGAAACTGATATATAAAATAGATTAAGCTACGTTAGTGACCATCTTTATCTAAATAAAAGACAGCTTAGGAAATTTATCTGTAATTTTTTGCAACAACGGTAAAATAAAAAAATGTCTCGAACATCTCGATACTTTAACTTTAATTGCACTAATCTTACACTTTCTATAACTTTCATGCACACATATAAAGACACTTTTTCACTTGTATTTATAAATCTGATTATCTCGATGAGATTTCTTTATTGTGTATGTATGACACATACAATATACATGTATCATGCTGCCACGTTTACCCAATAAAAGCGATGACTCCGCATGCCACCCATGTGAAGGTCCCGGTCTCGTATCTGGTAGTAGTGGTAATGGTTGCTTGACAATACGTACACGTCATAGCGACGGGGAATTCCCGGAACATCATAGAATTGAAAAAAGTTGGCTGTTGTGTGTACACCACCGTATTACCTCCCGCTATTGAGTGAAATGATATAAAACTGTATTATTGTACTAGCAATAACTAATTTCGATTTACACAAATTATATTGTTTCTTGTTTTGATATTATATTCAGTGTTGACTTTACTTGTACATACATGTTACAATATACATTTATTGACTGGGGGCGAGGGTAATATGCGTTTTGTGGGACCCAAGAACCGAACAGTTTGGTTCAACCTAGGGGTCGACAAAACGCATTTTGCCCGAGAACCCAGTCAAAAAATGTTTTGTTTTACCTTTTATTTATTTGACATACATGTGCTGGCTTCCATGATGTAAATTTCCTTTACCTGCCCTAAAACTCGGTCAAATTTGTTACTGACCAACATCAACAAATGCAAATGATATTTAATTAGCTGATCCCGCCCACAGTGTGACGTAAGCGGTCCAATATCTCATCGCCAGGTCCAATATCTCACTCTGCGGTCAAACCTCGATTTTTCTTATGACCGCTCAGTAAAACATTGGAAATGTTAGAGGGACGTTAAACAACATACAAATAAAACAAACAAAAGAATTTAAACGAACGGAAACAAAATTAAAAAGAACAAAAAGGAGGGAGAGGACCTCGAACAATGTTACGGAAAAAATTATTGATTTATATATCACCTACATTTATGTAAGAACGACCTCGCAAAAAGATTTAAATGTAGATATGCGAGGGTCAGTTTAAGAGGTTTAAGTATGGATAGACTTTAAAAATTTTGCAATGACCTTTTTCTTACATGCAGATTTCTTAGTTTATATAGTTCACTTTGAATACTTATTACAATGTTTTTCAGTTCTTGATATTAAGATACCTTTGGAAAATTATAGATCACAATTCATTATGATATATAAATGTACCAGCATCTACGCTGTCTTATTTCCAAGGCATTCCTGTATTCAGATCACTATATAGAAAAGTCTTTTTAAATTAAAATATTCATTGGATAACTAAAAAGTACTTACGTGGGGGTGGGGGTTGTCCCGGGACGGACCCTGGATTTGAATATTGAGGAGGGGGAGGCGGTTGATCCATGTTCTTGTTTGACCAAACCAGTCGCTGGGCAATTATTCTACGGAGCTCATTTGTTGCCAATATCTACGGTTTCATCATTAGCATTGATCTGCTTTCACAGTTTATAATAAATGTATGTTACTATTGATATATTACATACTCAATGTATATAACTTTATCAGTTTCCTATGGTCTCTATTACAAGAATCTAGTTTGATATTCTATGTTCTCCATTATTGAACATAAAATTTTCAAAATAATTTTAATTCTTTATTTTTCTGATGGGTTACCATACGGTTTAAGGTCGGTCGTTAACAAAATAGGAAGAAATGATTTAAAAAAAAACAACCTCTGCAATCATTTGAAATGAAAATAACCTTAGACAAGTACTAGGCACACAATTAACCATAAACAATAATCTTTTAAATGGCTTTCCATGCTTCCGTCATATGTTCTGTAGGTTCTCCAACCAAGGATAAAAATACTAGTACATGTAAATAATTTTTCTATGTTTCACAGGGCTATAATTGATTGGTACAAATAAACTAAACAAGAATTATGTTAAATTGAATTACAAAGCGCCTTATACCGGTATGTCAAATAGTGTTTCTTAACACTCCTTGTAAATATTTTTTATATTTCTTTATTTTTTAAGGTTTTGAAGCGTATATACCTATATTTGTATGTCTGTAGTGTTTGAATATTTTTATAAGTTATATGTAATAAAGCGTTTGTGTGTATATGTAATAAAGCGTTTGTGTATTATAACACAGCAGATAACGTCAGACTGGAACCTAATTTGCATATTGCCAATTTCATTAAGGATATTTCTGATTCACTTCTAAACTATGAAAAAAATATATTAAACCATCAACCCACTATCTGGATTTAATTTATCATGCATTTTATTGTTAATTTTTGTTCGGAATATCTTTAAGCGTGAAGAACAAAATGGGATATTATCTTGTTCCAATTTTCAGCACACTTAATACAAATTATTACGTACAAATTCAACAGAAAAGACCGTACATTTTGAAACAAAAAGAAATTGAAGAACTTAAGAAAAAATATTCTAGACAGTTCTATGAGAAAATGTCTGAATACTTAACATTTTGCTTGTTAAATGTTGAACATTCTGCGAAAATATAGATAACTATTTCAGAAACACATTTGTGCAGTACAGTTCGATATTCAGGTGAAAAATAAGTTCTTGTGATGCACAGTTTATTTTTACTCTGGCTTAATTAATGCGGACGTTTGAAAGATGGAACAAAGAGGTAGGAGACTGTTTTACACATCAAAAGTCTGCTTTGATCTATATGATCTCGTTTTTAAAATGAATTCTCATTTTCCTACATCTTGCTATATTTTCCAAGGGTTTGACGGCAACTTGGACAACTATGGACGACGTCTTTGCAGCCATCAATGCAGAATGGAATCAGACAACACCCCAACCAACATCTGTGAAATAAATCAAACAGGTAAAGCTCTGTTAATGGTTATCTTTATCTAATTAAAGGACAGCTTGGAAAAATAATCTTCAATTTTTCGCAGCAAACAAGAGTAATATGAAATGTTTCGAATATCTCCATATTTAACCCATCAAACCTTTCATTTTTAAACTTTCATTCATAAAGAAGACCATGAGAATATTGTGTTGTCGAAATACCCTATAAAATTAATTATTTCTTTGGTTTTCTTAATGATGTATGTATATTACATGTATCATGCTGTCATGTTTACCCAATAAACGCGATGACTCCGCATGCCACCCATGTGAAGGTCCCGGTCTCATATCTGGTAGTCGTGGTAATGGATGCATGACAATATGTACACGTCATAGCGACGGGGAATTCCCGGAACATCATAGAATTGAAATAAGTTGGCTGCTGTGTGTACACCACCGTATTACCTCCCGCTATTGATTGAAATGATAAAAAAAACGTATTATTGCAAGGCACATGACGTTAAGTATATAAAAAAAATCATCATAAAAGTACATGTTCTCCATACAAATAAATAAATCAAGAAATAAACACAGAAAAAAAAAATGACAACTTTATTTTATAAGTTACCCATTTTGTGGAATGCAAAAGAAATTAAGTATACATGTATATAGTATATATGTCTTTTGATTACCGATGCGTATAAATTATATTTTTTGATATTTAAAAAAAGAAACAAAACTTTAAAACCAAAGCAAACAAACAGACAAAAAAGAAAAAAAAAGAAAGTTTAGAGAGCAAAATTACACACACAACACAAAACGAACAAACAATGTAAAACATGTCACCGTAAACAATCAAAAACAAAATTGGAAAGAATAAAAAAGGGAAGGATCATCACTCTGATTCTACATACAAGTACTCTGAAGTTGATGTTAAAAGGATGCTGGAGTTCCTCATTGACAATATTTATGTTGTCTTTGGAAACAGGTACACGTAATACACGATAGTTCCTTCCATTCATATGTCGACTCGACATGTAAGACACCACAGAGTCTGTCACATTTGTTATATATTAAGATGTTTTACTGACTATAGACGATAATGGCCAATTAACAACTAGATTGTATGCCATACGAGATGACCTCAGCTTTTATATCGTCAGCTTTCCTTATTTATATACTCGTAGTAATATTCCGCTATTACCTGCATATGGTGTTTACGTCCCTCAAAGTATTCGATACTCAAGCTCATGCTCTGAAAACAATAAATTTTTAAACCGAGTCAGGTTAGTGACAGATAAGTTGATGTTACAGGGATTTCAACAACCTCATTTAATGTCAGCATTTTGTAAATTCATGGTTGTTATAATGACCTTGTTAGCAAATATAATCTACATGTAACATTGGGTTGTATTTTGGCTGACGTCTTGTATAACAATGCTTAGGCCTTTGTTTTTGTAAGTAATTTGAAGACGGAGTATTCCGTCTTCCTGATCAATTCAAAGGGCTCATGGCGGATGTGACCGGTCAACAGGGGATGCTTACTCCTCCGAGGTACCTAATTCCATCTCTGGAATTCCTAGGGGTTCGTGTTTTATGCCCTGATTCCGGATTTGTATTGTTTGTAGATTTTTTCGATCGATCAGTGTTCGTTTATCTCCATCTTTTCATTGGAAAGGGTTACAGAAAAAAAAATTAAGTTTTTAATGAAAATATATGTGTTTGCAATAATATTTCATGTACACGGACAAGTTGAAATGTTAGTGCTAGGTCAATTTTTAATCCATGACCATTGATCCTCGAAAAAGCGTCTAGTAATATATTACCTACAATTATTTACATAAGAATGGTCTCACAAAAGATTTACTTGTGGATATATGCGGGGGTCAGGCTAAGAGGTTTAACAAATATGGATAGAATTTTAAAATTTTGCAATAACTATTTTTATAGACTTTGTAGTTTATATAGTTAACTTTAAATATTTATTGCAATGTTTTTCAGGTATTCATTTAGTGATACAATGCACATTTGGGAAAAATCGAGATCATGTCAATTAAAAAGACCTTAACATAATGGTAACAAAGTACCCAGCTTCTGCTGTTTTTTGCAAGGACATTCCTGTATTCAGATCACTATATAGAAAAGAATCTCTTTTTGAATTAAAATATTCATTGGATAACTAAAAAGTACTTACGTGGGGGTGGGGGTTGTCCCGGGACGGACCCTGGATTTGAATATTGAGGAGGCGGAGGCGGTTGATCCATGTTCTTGTTTGACCAAACCAGTCGCTGGGCAATTATTCTACGGAGATCATTTGTTGCCAATTTCTACGGTTTCATCATTAGCATTGATCTGCTTTCACAGTTTATAATAAATGTACGTTAAGTTGATGTATTAAATACACATTTTATATATCTTAAACAGTTTCCTACATTCTCTATTACAAGAATCTGAACTGATATTTTATGTTCTCCATTATTGAACATAAAATCTTCAGACCAATTTTAACTTTTTATTTTTTCAATGGGTTACCATAAATTCTGAGGTCGTTTGTCGTCACAATAGCCAGATTGGAAATAAAGACCTCTGCAATCATTTGAAATCAAAATAACTTCTAACAGGCACTAGTTACACTTTCTGAATCAAACAAGTAACCAAAACAATAATCTTTTTATCTGAAACCGTATGTCTGAACTTCTAAAGTTTGCAGGGCTTGTATATATATCAAATAGTGTTTACAAACACTCCCTTGTAGATACTTTTTATAAAAAAAAATTAATATGGTTTGAACCGTATATACTCTATACCTAAAATGATATGTCTGCAGTGTTGTGATATTTTTTATTCTGGCGTACTGTGCTACAGCATATTCTAGAAGTGGTGTGATTCAGATGTGAATTCTCAATAACTTCAAAGAACTTTTAGAAAAAATTAAAATTTCTATTTTATTTCAAAAGTCAGTAACATCAAAACGTACGACTTCTCTACACTTTATACAACCATTTCTCACGATAAATTAAAAACTAGATTTTTGGATATTATGGCTAACTGCTTCTTCAATAAAAAATGGAAGTCGGAAATTTTCCTATCTTGTGATTGGTCATCAACAAAATTACCTTGTTAAAAAATCACTCTGATTCTACATAAAAGTACTCTGAAATTGATATTTAAAAGGATGCTGGAGTTTCTCATTGACAATATTTATGTAGTCTTTGGAGACCAGGTCTTCCAACAAACTGTTGGAAAAACGATGGGAACTAATTGTGTTCCTATATTAGTCGACCTGTTTTTTAATTCCTTTGAGGCAGAATGTATTCAAAAACTTCTACCTGAGAAGAAGAAAACACTTGTGGCCTTCAACTCGACATTCAGATATAAGGACGATGTATTATTAGTTAGCAATTATAGTTATTTTCATTTATATGTCGATTCGACATACCCCAGTGAATTTGAAATAAAAGACACCACCGAGTCTGCCACGTCTGCTTCATATTTGGATGTTTCACTGACTATAGACGACAAGGGTCAACTAACAATCAAAATGTATGCCAAACGAGATGACTTCAATTTTTCTATCGTCAACTTACCTTATTTACATAGCAAATATCCCCCTATCTCCTACATATTGTGTTTACATCTCCAACCTTATTCGATACTCAGGAGCATGCTCCGAGAACGATCGGTTTTTGAGCCGAGGCAGACTACTGACAGATAAGTTGATGTTACAGGGATTTCAACACCTCGTTTAAAGACAGCATTTCTAAATTCTATGGTTCTGTTGGGTCGTATTTTGTCCGACTTGTTTCATGCCAATTATTAGGCCTTTGTTTTTATACTGATTTGACTACGGACTGTTCCGTCTACCTGATCAATAAATAGGGCTCACGACAGATGTGACCGGTCAACAGGGGATGCTTGCTTCACCTAGGCACCTGATTCCATCTCTAGAATTCCCAGGGGTCCGTGTTTTATGCCCTGCTAACGGATTTGTATTGTTTGTAGATTTTCAGTGTTCGTTTATCTTCATCTTTTCGTTGGAAAGGGTTACAGAAGAAAAAGTCTTTTATTGAAATATATATTAGCGTTCTCCTCCTAGGCACCTGAACCCACCTCTGGAATTTCCAGGGGTCCTAGTTTTATGCCCTCTTCACAGAATTGTATTGTTTATAGATTTTTTTTTTTTTAGATCGATCAGTGTTTTTTATCTTCATCTTTTTCATTTCTTTGTCACATGTTATAAAACGTTTGTATATCATATCACAATAGACTGGGGCGGGATGTTACTACATATATAAGAAAAGTTGACGATGGAAAAGCTGGTCATTTTGTTTGGCATACTATTTAGTTGATAGTTGGCCCTTATCGTCTATAGTCAGTAAAACATCCGAATATGAAATAGATGTGGCAGACTCTGTGGTGTCTTTTATTTCGAGTTCACTGGGATATATCGAGTCGACATATGAATGGAAGTAACTGTTGTTAATTGATAAAACGTCGTCGATATATTTGAATAAATGTCGAGCTGAATGCCACAGCAAGTGTTTACGTCTTCTCCTGTAGAAGGTTTAAATAGATTCTTCTTAATAAGAATATAAAAGCAGGTCGGCTTATAAAGGAGCACAATTAGTTCCCATCGTTTTTCCAACAGTTTGTTGGAAGACCTGGTCTCCAAAAACTACATAGATAGTGTCAATGAGTAACTCCAGCATCCTTTTAATATCATTTTCAGAGTACCTATGTGTAGAACCAGATTGATTTTTAATAAAGTAATTTTGTTGATATACATGTACTTTGGGTTCGTTGCTAGTTTATCAGATATGAAGTCGAACACTTTTAGCGGCAAACACTTATATGTCGGTATTATTGTCTTATGACAGTTTCTTGTGAATATTATTCGAAAGTGCTGAAAATAAATTAGTCATGAAAGTAAAAAACGTTTATAATGTATAACAAATAGTTTTGTGATGTAATGTATATGACGTTTGAAATAACAAAGAAAAATTTAAATGCATCTGGGGCGGAATAATCAAAAGTTAGCTCATTTTTTAAAATTGAGAATTGGAAGAGTCTTGTATTTTCTACACTTCAGATGTGCTACAACATGTCTCACAATATATACACAATTGTCTTTAGGTAAAAACAGGTGTTGGAATGGAAGGTTAAACTTTTGAGAGGAAGGTTTCACGTGTTTTAATTACTGGATTTTTACCTCGACATATTTCTAGCAAAAATGAAAATAAATTCAATTCATAATATTTATTTCTCTTTTCAAATAATCTGGATCATGATTTGGAATGAAATGAGCAAAAGAATATTACTTATGTACAATTTAAATAGAACATATGAATTCAACAATGTTTTTGAAAAAGTCCCAGCTCCTTCTTCGTTTTGGTACATGTATTTACTTCAGACCGAGGAACCTTTTTAATCGATCCTTGAGTGGCACCTTTCCTTTTCTTGCCTACAAAAAAAAAAAACTAAATCAAAAAATTGTCCTGCTAAGTATAATTAAATTATAATCATATACTAATACATCACTTCTGTCATCTTAAAATTGGTACCTCTTGCGTATGAGGAGATGTGCTGATATCATTGTTATGTGGTAGTACACTCTCTTTGACGTCAGCTTCTATTCTGCTATTTTTTACGTCATTCAACTGACAGTGTCCTGTCTCCCCTTCTTCTACTTTCAAGTCACTCTGAAGTTACACATGAAGAGAAATGATTTATAACACATTAAAAATTTGTTAATAAAATAACTCTAAAAATTGGAAAAAAAAAGAAGATTGTATGTATATAAATAAATGCCAATAAGTTCATTTTCAAGTTTTGTAACTCTGAGTTGCCTCCCCATGCCTGTAATGCTTGCTATATTATAGACTATTTTTTAAAGAACAAGATTATAGATGAATAATCACTTTCATTATAAAAATAAAATTAAGCCCCCTTCACTGAGAAAAAAAAATCATAAAATAATTTTTTTTTCCTAAAAAGAAAGGATGGAAGATTTATAATTATTATAAAGAATCCATCTTTAATTTTATATATATGTGCTCTTTTGGAATTAAAATTAAAACAAAAATTCAACAAAAGTATACACTGAATCATCCAATGATAAGCAGTTACAGATATGTGTATATTGCTTCAACTTGATTAAAATAAAATACCTTTGAGAGAGTCTTGAAGGTGACAATATTAAACAACAACAGCTTTCTTGGCACAAAATGTTCTCGTTCTGACTCTTTCTTTGCATGGCGACTCTGTAAAACACAATTACATTTCGATATTGTTATTTCAAATATAAAAGAACTGAATACATAATGATACAGGTACTCAGTAATAGCTCTGCCTGGATTCAACCAGTTTTATGATTTTATCACACACATAATATAAAAGCGTTCATTAAGATTTTGGCATTAGGAACAGGGCAACATTTTGAAATTGATTTCTGAATTTTATTTCTTTCTTCTATTTCACTCTATTGCTATACCACAATAGAAAACACGGAAATAAAAAAATTAAATACATATTTTATAATGACGTATATTTCCTTACCAGAAGTTCTTTGTGAATTGTTTTCATAATCTGATTAAATTTCTCCCTTTCTTTAAGTCTTGTCTACAACAAAATCACAAATTTCAATTTAAGTACTTTGAAATTGATTTCCTTATATTTTTTTGTCTCGTTTTCTACTGCTGTAACATAATAGAAAACAAGAAAATCGAAAATTAAATGCATATTTTATAATGACGTATATTTCCTTACCAGAAGTTCTTTGTGAATTGTTTTCACAATCTGTTGAATTTTCTCCTTTTCTTGAAGTCTTGTCTACAGGAAAATCACATATTTCACTTTCAGTACAATAACCAAATAAAATGCATTTATTAAAATCACATGTCACATCTTATAGACCAAGTCTGAATGCTAGTAATGCAAGTAATATTTTGATCTCTTACCAAAACCTCCTTGTGGACCTTTTGTAGACATTGTCGACGAGCCATCTTTACTTGGATGGTTGTCTGAAAAAAAATCTTGTTGTTTTAAACATAAATAAATGAATGAATATATATATATATATATATATATATATATATATATATATATATATATATATATATATATATATATATATATATATATATAATGCACTGTGCAGTGTAATACTACTTTATATTCAAAGATTTTATAGACTATAAACATGTTTTATCGCATTTCTTACCAGCAGTTCTTTGTGTAACTGTAACAACATCTGATAACGAGATTTCTTCTCTTTGACTTTGTTCTGGAAAAGAGCTTACTTTTAGAAATCATTTACAAATAAAAAGGCTTCAGTTACTACACATCAAATTTCTTTCATTATTATTTGTAAATGTTAATGTCTGATCTAATTTTTGTACCAGAAGCTCGTCATGTAGTTTTGTCAGCTTCAGTTTCAATGCCATCTTTTCTTCTACTTTTGTCTAAGAAAAATGTTAACTTTTAAAAGAATATCCATAATCTTATGATATTGAAAATAATGATTTATGTACAATGATTTATAAGATAGGTTTTGTCTACTTACTATGAGCTCATTATGGAGAGATCTCATTTTCTGTTTACGAGCCTCCCTTTCTTTCCGTTTTGTCTGGAGAAAAAATAAATATATAAATTAATTAACAGATAAATAAATAGATAAATTAATTAATAAAATGCCTTTAGCTTGAGCACTGACAAATGGAAAATAAATAAATGTATAATTTAGCATGTATACAGATATCTATACATGCCTGAAATCAGACATGTATAGATATCTGTATACATGCTAAATCAGTGATTTTCTTTTTCTTACCATTAGTTCCTCGTGCACTTTTGTCAGGATCTGCTGGTGATTCTTTTTTTCCTGAATTTTTGTCTGAAAAATACACCATAATTCTGTTTGTTTACAAGATCAGGCAATGTCATCATGGAAGAATGGGGAAAAACCTAGCAAAAATTCATTGACACCCCCTCCCTCGAAAAAAAAAATCAACAGACATTATTCTTGAGAAGGCACAACCATAAAGCAAAATTGGTTTTCTGTCGTTCAGTATTTATGGATACCTGAGAAACATGATTTTTTTATCATTTGAGAAATATAACACCCCATACAATATGTACCCAGAAATAGAAAAGATCAATCATTTAGTAAAATAAAAAACAAGGATATTAATCTTTTTATAATACAAAAACAAAATAATAGACATCAAAAACATACAATAAATGACACAATTCCTAAAAAAAAGATTATACAATACTCACAGAAAATGTGTTATATAATAAGAAAAAGTATTTTCGTAAGTGTAGACAAGATCTGGCATATACATGTAGGAAAAATTATATGTTCAACCCCCCCCCTCCCCAAAACAAAATGGGGCTTAATCGCCACAAAACATAAACTGTATGCCGTTTTGATTCTGGCAGCATTATTTTGAGACGCCCCATCTCCCTCCACTCTCCCCGGTTTCTAACGGGTTTGTTTACCCTAGAAACACACTGTATAAGTCTTTATCTTACCAGCAGCTCTTCATGGAGATTTCCCAGTCCATGTACATGTATCTTATGTTGCCTTTTCTTTTCTTGAAATTTTTTCTAGAAAAAAATATAAACCGCCTTTCAAATTTACAAGAAAAAACAGGCTTGAACTGCTTACAGTATATCTTTATTATTGTTGTTATTATGTCTTCTTTCGCCTGTTTTTGTTGATGCATGGTTTGTTAATTTTAACTTATTACCTCCACCTCCAAGAGAATTTTTTTCATTTGCTCTTGTCTTCTTTTTTCCTCCTGTCAAAGAAATTTTAAAGATAAGTTATAATGCTGTCAATAATTTTCTTCTGGGCCTTTATAGATCCCCCTTAGTGACAAATTTTGCAGATTATGCTATGACTTGTATAAAATGTAGCTCATTTTATATACAGTTTCAATGCAAAGTTTTAAGTGCAATAAATGTTTCTTATGGTAAGTGATTGTTTAAAAAAAATGACACTCGCCAAAAATAAAAAAAAAAAAAGAATATTTATCATATTTGCTTAGATAATGATTTGTTAGACCCAGATTTTTTTGTTTAAAAAAATTTAATTATAACAAATGATACACGGGAATGAATTACAGCAATACTTGAAGTTACAGTGGAGTCATTTACTTTAAAAAACAAGCACAACAATTCAATTAAAATTTTACTGAACTTCATTATCATCAAGGGTTGTTGTGAATCAGTTAAAGGTATTAAGATGTAATACCTCTTGTCGTCTGTCTTCCTCTTCCATGGCCTCGGCCCAGCTATAGTCGAACTTGAGTATTTTCAACTTTGTCTCCTAAAAAAAAGGATTAATTCATATTCATGCCTGTTGCTTATTTACTTGTAAAATTCAATCTGTGAGCAGAATTACACGAGTTTGTTATTGAAAAAGTAAAAGTTAATTTAATGTTTCTTTCGAAAAACAATGACTCTACATGTATATATATTCTTTCCCTTTCAGGTAAAGTTGTAATTCTTAAGATTTTATTCGCTCCTTTTTTTCTTTTTGAAGGGGGGGGGGGGTCATGAATACATTGATTGAAAATGTAATATTAGAAAATTTTAAATCAATATATGGTATATTTTTATTCAATCAGCATAAAAACTCGTGGTTAAATTGGTACCTTCCATGCTTGAATCCACAATGAAGAAAATTAAGTAAAGGTTTAAATGTTGCAAACTTCCTATCAGCTTATATATCACTTCAGCCCCCCCCCCCCCCTTCTCCTTTTCACACAGACACACACATGCCAAAACAAAACAGGATTGTACAAGTAACACTGTGTATATTGGTATTATTAGATACGAAGGTGTAAGTTGGTTTTCACAGTTTACAACACTTTGTGAAACACGTGAATCATTGACCTTAATAACTAAACTTACCACATCTCGCACAGCATCCTCGCCAAAATCTAAAATCTCATCCATTTTGAAAATCTATGAAGATAATAATTAATACATATAAAAGTATACATTTACAACAGTACCAATAATTAATATCGATGATTTCTAAGAAAATAATGATAAAGAACATTTCTAAATTTACTAATCATCCTACTTGTAGTCTCCGTTTTCCTTAGTGATGTTTTGTTGTAGCAATGATTGTGACGTCATACCTTTTGTTACGTAATGTGAATTTAATTGTGACATTACAGTCGCCATATTGTGCTTATATTTTTGCAAATATCATACTATGGGGCAAACCTCGTCTTATAATAATCCAACCATTTTGAAAGCAGTTGAATCTGTTACAAATATGTCCATCATTTGCAAATATTTTTGTCCAGGATCACGACATTTATTCATCATTACTGCTAGAATATTTATGCTGATTTGACAAAGCAAGTAAACTCCACATTTCAACTGGTAGAAAATAGCTAATTGTATAATATAAACACATAATGCTTAGACAATGATTTATGGCTTAATTCTTTATTTTAAGCACGTTAATTTACTTTGATTATAGATACAAACTCAGAGGTAGAGAAATGTAACTAATTTGAACCTCTTTTTGTGGGGATATTGCAGACCATGATGTATACATGATTACTATTATATTTTCTATGATACCATAATATTTAAAAGCAGTCAATCTGCGTGTGCTGATACAATTTATATAAGTAGCTGTTAAAGGAGTATTTTTTCTTAAGAAAAAAAATAAAAGAAAACATGAAGGTATTGGTTGCTTAGTCAATAAAACATACTCACATTTTTTCGCCTTTCTTCTGGTTGTAAAGATGTTATAATTACGTCACATGGTCATTGTTACATCATTTGGTTATTGTCATAGAAATCTTGGACGTAACAACGTTGAATGTGATGCAAGCATGTCCTTATTCAAAGCGTATAAGATGTGTGCACGATAAAGGTGTGTTTTTGACGTATGTATTAAAAAAACAGCATAATTTATATGATGATTAAAGCTTCTTTCAAACATACTTTATACGCTTTTTATTAGTAAAACTGTTGCTTAATAAAAGGATATCATTTTTGGATTTCCAACATTACAAACTATGGTCATTTGCTTGACAGGAGATTGTTAAAATTATCAATTCTACGCCAAATAGGGTGAAAATCGGTATATGTCTGTGTCTTCTATGTTCTAAAAAGGATGCCATAATTAAGTTGATGAAAATTGAAATAAGGTCCTGGAAATGGCGAAGACCTTGATGTCCGTTTCTATAGATCTTTCTATGGCTGAATGTATAAATCCAGTAGGATGATTAATAACTTTTCTTGCCACAATTGCATGTACATGTATAATGAATATGTATGAAATAACAGTGTACACCAGTGTTATATCTATGAAGCAGGTAGGTGTTCAGTGAAATATCCCTGTTTTAAAGGTATTGCGCTTTTTGGGCAATTTTATCCTTCATTTAGAAATACACATGTATATCAACCCGAATATTTTTATAAGCATAACCTGCAAAGAGGACGTAAAATTTATTCCAGAAAACATACAAATTTCTTTTTATCCCAAATCAATAATAATTGATAAAATAATAAGTTTTGAAAAATTGAACTTTTGGGTTGATTTTCTTGACGATTCTAGAAGTTAATGGTGTTACTATTGGGCGACTACAAATATTTGCAAGAGCAAATCGGTTATAGATATTTCTGTCATAAAAATTAATTTACAGAATTCTTATCATGCTCTATAAAGATGTATTTTGTTTACAATGAAAAATCTTTAATCAAATTAGTGTCAAATATTATGCTCTTTAATTAAGCTTCCTTCCTCTTCTTCACTGGTCATCACTGTATGAACTTGACGACATGTCATTGAACTCTTATAAAGTATAATTATCCAATACAATGATAAAACACATATCAGGGATTGAAAATGTTTCCAGACTTTAATACTTTATAAACTCTGTGTTATTATTCCATTGTCCTATGAAAAACACCTTAAAATGTGACATTGAGTCAAGGTCATAATACATCCTTAGATCACCAACAACAACACACTGAGTTCTGCATACCCCAACAAAGGATTCCACAGCTAGGACCCGGGCATAATTTTTGGAAAGACAATGGGCAGATATTCAGGACATTGAAAAAATAATTTGAACATCTTTGGATCATTAATAACAACATACTCTTTTGATTTCCATCTTTTCGAAAACTATAGCAATGACACATTTCACCATCTCAATGCTCACGATAGTGACCTTGACCTTTGATTTTTGTGAGGGCACTAATTGCCTTGAAAGTTTTCAAAAGACAAGGAAAAAGACTTATTCATGTCTTGTTGCATCAGGGCTACTGGACTCGCGTGGAGCCACAGTAAAATAAAGCAGAAACAACAAACGAATCCAAGATTTTTTTTTTATTCTTTTAAGAAAACAAATTGCACTTTTCAAAAACAAAATTAACAGAAACATTGGTACTTCTACCAGTGCAAACTTCAATACATTTCATTCAACATTAACAATATGAAAAAATAATAATGAGCAAATAAATAAAAGTAAAAAAATATATATCATTGAAATGAAAATATAATGTACTTTTGAACAATATTTCTCTTCCATCTGAAGTTTCTACAGCAAACTTCAGCTTTCTTTACAATTTAATCAAACCTGTCTTAAACTTCCTTTACATTTTAGCATATCTACCCACAGTTTTCCGACACAAAGGACAAAAATGAACGATATCCTTGGTACCATCAAGACAAAATGGAATCAGGAAGCAACCAGCAAATCCTCTGTTGGATAAAAACAAAATTTCATGACTCAACAAAAATCATTAAATTGGCTTTTATGTTCAGAAAATTAAATTTTGAATTTCCTCGAAGTAAAAAAAAAAAAGATTATTTTTAATATACATGTAGTGTATTTAGTTAGTTAGATGCAGGTGGGCGTTTATTCTATAAACCCAAAAAATAATTCCTTGATGAATCCTCATTCTCCTCATACCTGGCTATAAACTTTCGAATAAATTTGGAAATTCTGAAAATTCTATGTGATTCTATGAGATTGAGAAAGAAATGAATAGATCTGAAGCTATAGAAAATATGGAAATTAAGGGAAAGGACTACCTAAGTTTTTGGAACTTGTGTCCAATCCCTTTTACATATTGTCAATAAAATATGTTGAAAACAAACAAAACAGTGTGAAAAAAAAAACATCACCCATTCAACGTATCGAGAAGGGAGTTATTAATTTTAAAACCTAAAATTACCAAAATCCCAAATTCGACTGTAAAGAGGGCACACGCTAAACAAATTACTAGGCATTTATCTATTTGGTACATGGCATTAGAATGAAAAAAGTTCCCCGTTCAGGTATATCTCTCCCTGCTCTTTGCTTCCTATATAGAATTTTACTTTTTGATTCAGTATGTTCATGTATTTAAGCATATTGAAATTGAAGCTTACCGACGCCCCTCTCCTCTTTGGGCACAAGTTAAAGATGCATATACATGTGTACATATACATAGAGAGAATGTTTTTATTCCTTTCATTCAACAATTACAAACACTATACAAAATTATTTTAAAGTAATTATAACAAGGTGTCTATAGATGCAGACTACATCCTTACCCAATTAAACATATGATGATGACTGCCACCCACGTGATCATACCCGGGGTAGTCCTTGTAGCTGTTGTTATAGTCTGTGAGCAGTAAGGACATACAATTTGTACCCCACTCTCTCTGAACATGTGATGATTGATCGGCCGTACAGCAGTCGTAGGCTGGATCACCACTGTTGTGTTAGTTTGAGCTGAAAATTTTGAGATGAAATATTATTAAAGCACATTTTTGTGCGCATGCGCTGGTGTTTAAGGTATGTGAAAAAGTGAAACAAGAGCTGCTCTTCATTCACGATTTGTTGTGCTGCTGTTTTTTCTTCTGTGATTTGTTTAGGTGTCCGGTATTCCGAGATAGTTTGTTAATTCACATTTTGATTAAAATTTAGCATCTTAGCAAATTATGATTAATTATATGTTCTTTAAATGCATACATGATACATCCTCACTACGTCAGGGGCCCTGTGTCAGATCGTTGCCGTGGGACCCCTGACAAATTTCATTCGGTTTTATTTGGGCTTGCTTCACCAATCAAAGTGAAGTAGACAGATAGTTTAAACAGGAAAGAATCAGTTCACACCTAAAATGCACGTGTCACGCATTGTTTATCACCGAAAGGCTAAATGTGATTGGTTGAGAGATAAGAAAACAATATCAAGATTTGTAATTTTCTTGAAAGACGTCGCTGCAGTCAGCCCATAAGATATCGAGTGAAATTTGTCAGGGGTCCCACGGCAACGAAGTGACACAGGACCCCTGACGTTGTGGAGATAACATGATATTGCATACCGGATATATCTGACCGCTTACTTTTTGTAAAGGGGGGCTTTTATTTTATTTAGTAAATAAATATATATCTTGTTTCTCTATAGGATGCATTTTCTTTAATTCGTTCCCTTTGAAAATATTTTGAACTGTAGTGAGCATTTTTTAAAGAAATGGATAATAACGTTAACGTTGCATTTTCTCGCTCCTCTTGTTATTTAAATGGACAGTAAGATATGATTCTATAGATACCTATACAGATACATATTGATTCAATCAGAAAAATTCCCAGTGGCTCTCTTTTAGATAATGGATTGTTTACGAGTTAACAAATTCTGTGGTGTTTCAAGGAGTTTAAATGTTTTACCAGTACAGGTAGTCCACTTTAATTCTTTTATTTGATCGGACACGTATTCAAACAGAACCATCTTAAATAGTATGCAGATTTTCTTCAGATACAATTTAAGGTAATGTATTAGAGATATGATTAAATACTTGTTGAGACAACTGGTTACATTGTAGTTTTTGAACTGATAAACAAATGAATTGTTTTTGCTCTGAGCTGTTATAAATAACAAATATATCATAAGTATGAAAAACTTTAAAACATTGATCTGCCACTTACAATATGCAGGGGGTGGTGCGTGGTGTTGTGGATTGTTCCAGCCCTGCTGGGGTTGTGCGGGAGGAGGACCCTGCTGTTGCTGTTGTGCATGTGGTGGTGGTTGGTATTGGTAACCACCTGCAGGTGGTGGCAGTTGCTGGTAACCACCTGCAGGTGGTGCTTGTTGCTGGTAGCCACCTACAGGTGGTAGTGGTGTCTGTTGGTAACCAGCAGTTACTGGTGGTGGATGCTGGTAACCATTGGCAGGTGGTGGTGGCTGCTGGTAGCCCTCTTGGCTGCCATGTGGTTGCCCCGGTAAAGCTTCTTGGTGTCCTTCTATAGGTTGCTTTTCCATCCTCTGTTAAAACTTAATTTTTCAAAAAAGTTATGGCCCAAATAGTATCGTTGGATGGATAATTATTAGAAGAAAACAATTTAAAAATCTGCTTTAGTTTCTTTCTCGAAGGAATTCCATAAGTCACAGAAATGTTTCACTTAAACGTGTATCCAATTTGAATTATACACCACACTTTTAAACGGCCTGGTCTGTAAATCCCTTGTTCAAAAATTAATTCCTTATTTTCTTTGGCGCTGTGAAATACTTTGAACTTTCGAAATCTACAAATGTAATGGTCTGTTGACCGAACCTATATCCCAACCTCATGCAAGAACAATAAATATTGATTTGCGTTGTTATAGTGATGGACAATTAAAAGTAGGCTGGGCATAATATATAGAACGGGGAAGCGAAAGGTGTTTATTGACCACCGTGATCGAGTAAACAAGTATTTACATGTAATTTTACAAAACTGTTTACTTTTTCTATAACATAACTTCGACTTTAAGCCGATTGTCCAGTTGTGTTCGTAAAAGATTTTGTGAGGGTATGTTGTCGCTGTTTATGATATACCGATTATATATTCGTAAGTAATCGATTACAATCGGTTACAGGACAAAAATGACTGTAATCGATTATTAATCGATTTCACAAAATTCATCTACGTAATCGATTACATTTTTACAGTCCCTGAAACGTTCTACTTTCCCATTTTTCCGTTCGCTCACCGTTCGTTCACCGTTCGTTCAGCGTGCGTTCACCGTTCGTTCAGCGTGCGTTCACCGTTCGCTCTCCGTTCACAGTTTTGCGTTCAGCGTTCACCGTGCGCTCGCGTTCACCGTTCACAAAGCGTTCACCGTTCGCTCTTCGTTCGTTCACTTTGCGTTCACCTAGCGTTCAGCGTTCACTTATCGTTCAGTCTTCAGTGTCATTCGGAACTCCGAAGTGAAAGGACTTAAGCTTATCTTTTTTTAAGTAAGGATTTACAGGTTTTGAATTTAATAAATAACATACCGTGTTTAAAGAATCATTATTTCAGGGGAAAAAAATTATCTACAAAAATAATTTTTATTATTCTAACTTAGCTGTTAGGTTATTTATAAAATTTATCTTGAAAATAAATGTTGTTATAAGTACATGTATGTACCTATGTAGAACGATGCTGAAAAATTAAATTTAAATACGGGCAAAATACTGATACTTCAAGCACTGCAACATTTTGTTGTAATGTTAAGGACGACAAATCGTTAATAGATAGAAAATAATCGAAGTCAAATAATTTACCAACTGCAGCAAAAATACAAAAATATTTATTTCTATCAGCTTTTTTTTTAAAAAAAGTAATACAGAAATACATGTTAGAACTTTTTTCTGAGAATGATAAACAGTGCTGCGGATATCCAGTTAATTAAATATCTTTAAAGCGAATTAAATTGATAGTGTGGTTTAAAAAAATATTTGTTTAAAATGCAATACATTAAAAAGTTGTTTTTTTTTTTTCAACTTTACATATATAAAGTCTTTAATTAGAGAGAGAGAAATGCCTTTATAACATGATTATCATTTATATAACCAAAGTGATTCTCCAGTAATGATATTTTTCATCGTAACTTTAAGTGTTTGTCATTCTATATTATTAAGACCCCCCCCACCCCCCACCCCCCACCCCTTTCCCCTAAATCGGTTACTTAGTTAGTATTTCCAGTACATAACATTTAAAAAGAAGTTAATGTGTTTTGTAGCAAACAAACATGCATCTAAACCAAGTCATTATACAATAGTAGTTCAAAATATACATGTACATGTGCCGGCGGTGATATTTTAAATTGGCAGAGAGTATGTTTCAAATTCAAGCGGCTTAATTATTCCAAGTATTTATTCCCAATGTATTTTATTTATTTATTTTTAGAAATGTTGGAATCAGATCTTAAAATGATAAGAAAAAATGTTAAAACTTCTTGGATATACTAACACTTTGCCTTCGGTGTGACGAGACTTTCACACCTGCACAGTGTCGAATGATTTTGATTGACAGGTCATGCACGTGGACTTCGTGTGAACTTGAAGCAGGAAAATAAAAACCGATTTTGACTGTAAAACAAATGGATTTGTTGATTAAAAAATGGTTACTTTCACTGCCTGATATATTTAGAAAAAAATTAGAATTTTTGTTTGATATAGGTACAAACATTTGAGGAAAGGGGGGGGGGGGTGGGCTAAAACTCTCTCTCTCTCTCTCTCTCTCTCTCTCTCTCTCTCTCATTTGTCTGTTTAATAAAAAATATGACAGCATATTACTTAAATATCAAGTTGTGAAAATTTAATATATAACAAATAATATGATTGCCTCTTTGTATCATCTTGTCCGAGTATAATCACGGCCGGGAAATGTCTACAGATACATGTAGAAGTCTGCTTAATAAATCATCATAAAAAATAAAACTGACACATAAATATATTATTGCATTAAAATTTTAGAATACGAGTGTATTTATGCAATTCTTCCACATACCTTTGTGTAATATTTTTTTTTTTCTTATTATTTACACGGAATCGCCTTGTATGGTTGTTAGAACCATTGTAATTCATTCTATAAGTCCGTAGTTTTCTCTTCTAAAATCCACATTATTTGTAATGGTTTTATATATAAAATAAGAATAAACATATTTATTTTACAACTAGATTAATTTCATCTGTTATAACACAGCGTTCGGTAACAATTACAATGTTTTACAGCGCTAAAAATCGTATTATAAAAAGTTGAATTTAAACATCGTACATATGTGCAGAAAATATTGTAAGAAACTTAAATTAATAATTTTACTGAATGTGCATGTATCGTCTTTCTTAGGGCAATTTTCACTGATTTGTTTATTTATTATTTTTTTTTTTATTTTATTTTTTTAGCACCAGGCATTAGAATACAATAGAATAGTTTCAATGCAAGGAAAAGATCAGAGGCATTCCGAATAAATCGTTCATATTGCGTTCACCGTTCGTTCACCGTTCACTTTGCGCTCGCGTTTGCGCTCCGTTCGCGTTCTGCGTTCGCTCACCGTTCAGCGTTCACACATCGTTCACCAAGTTGCGTTCAGCGTTCACACATCGTTCACTCACCGTTCGCTCTGCGTTCGTTCAGCGTTCGTTCACCGTTCGTTCAGCGTTCGCTCACCGTTCAAGTGGGAAAGTAGAACGTTTCAGGGACTGTAAGTAATTGTGCCCATGCCTCGTCTATATAGCTTCGTTCTAGATATTTATAAATTATTGATGTCACTAACAAGAGAAAATACGTGGGATTTTCCGTTATGTTTAAAAAATACTCTTTACAAAATTTTGCTGTATAATACGAAAGCCGGATAGGCTCATTTTTGACAAGACAAAAAAATATTTAACTCGTTATAACGAGATAATTATCTCGTAATAACGAGTTAGTATCTCGTTATAACGAGTTAGTATCTCGTTATAACGAGTTAGTATCTCGTTATAACAAGTTAATATCTCGTTATAACGAGTTAGTTATCTCGTTATAACGAGATAATTATCTCGTTATAACGAGATAACTTACTCGTTATAACGAGGTAACTAACTCGTTATAACGAGGTAACTAACTCGTTATAACGAGATACTAACTCGTTATAACGAGATAATTATCTCGTTATAACGAGATACTAACTCGTTATAACGAGATAATTATCTCGTTATAACGAGATACTAACTCGTTATAACGAGATAACTAACTCGTTATAACGAGATAACTAACTCGTTATAATGAGATAATTATCTCGTTTTAACGAGATACTAACTCGTTATAACGAGATAACTAACTCGTTAAAACGAGATAACTAACTCGTTATAACGAGATAACTAACTCGTTATAACGAGATACTAACTCGTTATAACGAGATAACTAACTCGTTATAACGAGTTAATTATTTTTTTTCTTGTCAAAAATGAGCCTATCCGGCTTTCGTTGTATAAATTCAAAACCTAGAATGTAAAAATTTAACTTCTAAAGCCTCGTAATATTAAATTTTATTTATTGCTTCGTTATTTTCGTGTTTTCTTACGAGGGGAATATACATATTTATTTATGAATGCATAATTCCAATCCTTCTGATTGGCTGAGATCCAACAATGTTAGAAAAATATTATGTTATATTCACCGGCACGTGACCTTTCAAGTGAATATAAGGATTTATTTTTCTCACATTAGACTAAAAATAGATTGGGAAATTCCAAATTAATACAAATAGTTTTGGAAGGTTATTTCACTTGCACATGACTTCCACTCATATCAACGTAACATTAAGGCACCTGTCTTACTGTTATGTTAAGGGTCCTGGGTGAGGGGTGGAGAGGGGGGATTGCAGGGGGCCTGTCCCATTCGCCACCTTTTTTGAGATCGTAAATTTTAATTTAAATTCTAAGGATAACTGAGTTGGAAGAATTCTACTTTTTCGTTGGAGGGGAGGGGGGGGGAATCAAACATTTTTTAAAGCAATATGTCAATTGTTTTCTTATAATGCCTTTTCAAAATTGATCCTATATCCTGACATTTATTTTCTCTACAATGCACCTTATACAGAGTTAAAAATTCCAAATTAATACAAATTGTTGTTTATTTTAACCCCGCTGCTCTCATTTTGTTTGGCTAGTACTTCAGTGAATGTAAACAAGACGGAATAGATTGTATAATGAATGTGTGTCATTTAATCATTGAATCATATAATAAAACAATTATTGCTGTTTTTTCGGTCAATACTAAGATTTAGTCACCTTCGTCAATCGAAGTACAATATTCACCTCGCCCTTCGGGCTCGGTGAATATTGTACTCCTCAGGTGTCTAAACCATCGTATTGACTTCAAAACCAGCAATAATTGTATTATACACACCCACGCCCACCCACCCATATATATATATATATATATATATATATATATATATATATATATATATATATATATATATATATATATATATATATATATATATATATATATATATATATATATATAT